AACAAAACGAAACGAAACAAAAAACAACAAAACAAAACAAAACTGGATAACAAGCAAGCGCATAGACTTACAGGGTGTTCTATCTTGAGTTTGACTCTCTTCCAAGACCTTATGAAAAACAACACAGAATTGACCCAAGGCTGTTACAGCACCTTTACGCACTCCTGTATGTGGAAACTAGAAACAAAACAATCGTCAACAGTCAATCATGGGAAAATCAATCCTTTTTACGAAAAGGTTTCTCAATGTTGCGGCATGTCGTACCGTGTTCGTGCTGTACGTCAGTGCCGTACGTTTCCCACTCACAATTCCCCACTCTAAATATCACTGCTCTTTTTTAAGTGTCATATCCTTATAAATGTTATATGTTCATATAATATAAACATCCCTGACACGGACTGACTGCTTACTTGTACTAGCCGTAAAACCTCACAATTCCCCACTTTAAATGTCACTTCTCTTTTTTAAGTGTTATATCCTTATAAATGTTATATGTTCATATAATATAAACATCCTTGACACGGACTGACTGCTTACTTGTACTAGGCGTAAAACCTCTTTAGAGACTTCGTCGAGATATGGAAGGAACTTGATGCTGGAAAACATAAAGAAATTTTCATTACTTCTTTTGCGAACTGCCATTCATGTCATATCATATTCCTTTTCTACGTCCTTCCTTCTTGCTTTTTGTTCTTTCACCCATTTTCATTTTTCTCTTTCTTTCATTTTCTTCCATTATTTAACAATGATAGTTTGATTACCCTGTATTTTCTGCTAATTCTCCTAAAGCATTACACGTATCTTCTTTTTCTTCCAAATAAGAATTTTCCACGCTATATCTGTAGATCAAAAAGGAAACCAAAATTAATATAACCATAACAAATATGGACCTTTATGCTTGAATGCGAGGTCAAGCGGGGAAATCTATCGATCCAGTCCTCATGGCTGCCGATTGTAAAGGCCCTTTACACCTACACTTCCAGAAGCCTTTTCGTTAGGTTTTTTGTCATGTTAATTTTCACTATTGTCTTGGTATTCTTAAAGGAGTTTTGGCATTTAAATATGAAAATAGAGTTATAAAAGGATTGTGGTAGTATAGGTATAAAACACCATTAGGGTTAGGGTCTGTTCGCAGTCGTACTATAATAAAGATGTTAGTGTGAGCGGTTGTGGCTGTTGCACCGTACGCGCATTGTAGGTTTGTAACATGCTTCCCTCTCACATGAAAACCGCTCGTTTCTTGAAGTTAGAATTGTATCAAATGAAAGCACGACTGACCCGGTAATGTCTTCATCATCTTCCAGTTCTTCGTCTTCCACCTCCTCGTCTTCCAGCAAGAATGACGGATCGTCTTCTTCTGCGTAATGTGTCTAGAAACAACCAATAAATAAATTGAGCACGTCGATGTTTATGTACAAACTACAGAAAAGATTACACGCAATTTCCTTATATTTCAGAAACTAAGTTAAAAACAGTCTAGCACTAGTTGATGTGAAGTACGATATTTAGCGATTAGTCCTCGAGCCCGATTGGCTATGAGTCAATAGCCCATGAGGGTCGTTACACGGCAAGGCATACGTCAGACCAAGCATGTTGCGCGAGGATTTACTTTCCAATCAGATACATGGCATGGTCACGGTCACGCAAAGGTTACGGCACTGTGAGACCAATCACATTGCGCGAGAAAAAAACAGTCAATTAAAATTCTAGAAAATATCACGCATTTGCATTTTCTTACCACGATCCCTTCAGTAGATTGTAAAGAATCGACCATATGTTTCATTATGTCTGGTAAGAATTTCTCCATATCGGTTTTCAAGATAGTTGAAATAGATGCGAACAAACCATACCTGCAGATAGAGTAGCATGGTAAATCAACTATATACACCTTGAGTCCCGGGATTTTTTTGCATAAGAAAAGGCAGCCTATTGTCTCCCAGATAAATTCCTCTAGGAAATCAATGCAAGGGGTCTATAAGCTGATGATAGACGGGACGACTTGTAACGACGATTTTTCGCGGTACGCCGTAGCGCGAAAAGTTGATGCCGAGTAATATGCCACGTACACGAATTTTCGGATTCGGCAACGCCTTGCAAGTTTTTGATTCAGCTTCAAAAACTTGCAACGCCGAATGGCGAATTTTTTGCAAGTTGATTCGTGTAACAGCTTCATTAAAGTTTTTTCGCGCAACGCATACCCAAAATGCAGTTCAATACTCTAATATACAATATATGATACTCGGTTTATTTGTTTTGATGGGGCAGACTGAGCGCGCACTGAGGACGATGTTACTTTAAAAAATCGGTAATAATCGTCCCGTGTAAAATTTTTATTTCTGAACGAACTTAGCGCGAAAAGTTAACCCGTACCGCGAATAAAAGTTAACCCGTTGCGAATCGTCCCTTGTAACATAAGTTATAGTCAACGAAGGGTATGAAATATTTAGGAAGCAAGTGTGTGCGGTTAGTGCGCTGTCAGAAAGGCAAGAGGTCTCCAGGAAAGGAAGATAATTGTGCGCTCCTTGCAACTCTTCCAGGTCAGTGAAATGCGAGATAATTCGCAACTAGTGAACTCTTAGTAGCTACAGTAGTACCATATAGTCTAGAAAAAGTTAACTAACAAAATTGTACAAATTAGTGCAAAGCCTATTGAAGTCTACTGGACTTACTAATTTGTGCAAATTTGTGCAATTTAAGTATGAATGGAAATTGCACGCATAATGGGATGTTGTACTGAAAATACTTCAGCATCATCGCTGCGTCATTTTCGTTCCAGTGACATGGAACCCTGCATGTATTGCAACAGCCCACAAAACCCGAGTAATACAAGACAAAGAAATTAAAATAGTGTCGTTGAATTACGCCGATAATTTCTTTACTGTATCTTGAACAAAAGGTATTGTTTATTTTTCTAGTTAAAGTTACTTACGTGCATCTTCTTAGGTCGGGATCCCTGTCTTGCGCAAGAAGATTCTGTTTGCAAACATAACATTACAGTATGTTAAAAAACAAACCCTCAAGCCTATCAGAGTCTTACAGCCTGTTAATATGATGGGTCCAATCATTTTGATTGGATAGTGCGTCAAGTCGCGCCTTCACGGTATGCAAATGTTGGATCCAGGGTCCGGTTGCATAAAGCTCTCTTAAGATAAGAGCAACGGTAAGTATTGTTCCAAAACAAAAGGCCATTGTACTGAGACAACACTTACGAGTACTTTTCTCTCAAGAGAACTTATGCAACCGGGCCCTGACCACTAGGTTGCGGTGCCTGGAAGTTTTTGTTTCCTTGTCCAATTATGGCTCAGCTTTTTCTGATAAAGAAAATGAATTTACCAGAAACTATTAATGCTATTTAAGAAAGAACTTCATGGCAACTATTTCCCGAAAATGTTGCTAAATTTGACTGAATACCAAAGAAGTTCTGAGAAATCCAAAATAGAGAGTTTTGTACGTATTTATAACTGGAACCCTTGGTGCCCTGGTTTTCATATCTTGTCGAGGATTTATTACTTTCATTAGAATCAGCAGCAGTCATTTACGATAGTCGTGTATTCTGTATGTAATTTGGAGCATTACGACACCTTTTCATTTAGCCTTTCGGCTGGTATGAAATATTGCATAACCTTTGCGCATCTCAAGCTACGGACACACGGTGCAACATTGCGCGCAATGTTGCATGCAATTGATGTTGCGAGCCATGAGACACGACGCAATTTGTTGCACGCAACGTTGCTGAAGTAGAAACCTATCCTTCTTCAAAAACATTGCTTGCAATGTTGCGCGCAATGTTGCACCGTGTGCCGTGCCTTCAAGGTACATTAGTATGAGACCATCAAGTAGTCACATCTTACCAGCCCTAGTTGTATACATTCTTCTGCAAGTGGAAGAAAGTTCTGTGCACCAATAGTTCTCGCTAAGACTCCCAGAGTATCTAATATCAAGAGGAACACATGTTTAAAGATGTACGCACTATGCTGCTTTACGATGTTCCATCGCCTTGACAACCTTACGGTTTGTTGGCAATGTAATTACGGCTGACATAACTTAATGTTATAGTGCGACTAAACCAACCAACACATTACACCAACCAAGGCCACCCACACAAAATTTCATACAATTTAGCCAATTACGATTGAGTATTTAAACAATAGAAAATTTGTTCAATTTTTTTACATTTTTCATCCTTTCAAATCATATATTTTACTTTATACTAGTGTGTGTATGATCAGGAGTAATCAAAAAACAGTTTAAAATCCAGAATTCATCGATTCATCTGTTATGCAGCGTTTAATATGTGGTTTGTGAATTTGATTCAAAATTTGTTTGGGTGGCCTCGTTTGATGTAGTCGAACTGTAATAGGAATGACAGATGGTTTGATCCTTGTGTAAAAGGTCCTGGAAATGTTGATTTGGATTTGGCGACATTCTGAACCAATGAATAAAGCAGAAAGGAAGTCTACGTTTGCTAGTGATTAATCCACTTGGTTGGCAAAACCCCTTCTTTTGCGCAGTAACCGTTACTTAATGTTAAAACATTTTTCACGTAAAGGAAAGGGAAAAAAATCGTTATGAGCCCAAAGTAAGGTTTTTTTTGCAACTTAACAACGAAAGCCATGATGTTTTGTGATCTGACTGGCAGGCATCCCGAAATAAACTAACCTTACGAAGTCAGTCGTGAGTGTAAATCAGAATACTTACCTATAGTTTGCACCTGAAGTAAATTTCCATCGGCAGTGCTTGTTAAGTAAACCTGAAGGCAAGCAACCAAAAGTAGAGTATTTCATTATTGGACGTCTTATTAATAATGAATACTTGATCACAAAGCATTGAAAGGTTTCTCCTCTCAAAAACTGGTTGAAATTCGGATATTTAAAAACATATTTTTTCCCAAAATCAGTTCAACTTTGCATGTCTCAAAGGTTTTTTTCCGCTATGAAAAAGCGCTGACATTTGAATATCTCAAAATGCGTAACTTCTACAAGAAACTTTGACATTTAGTTCATGCAAACGTGCGCTTAATGAGGACAGAATGACAACACAACTGAGTCAAGAACTCCCGGAAAAAGAAAGTTTGCGTAAACTCTGAGGAATGATCATTCACGAATAGCATTTAGCAAAACGAAGCATCTTGTTTGAGCATTTTAACCATATTTTTGATTCGAATCAAGAAGTTTTCTAACGACAGTCTTAAACATTGGAGAAAAGGTGCGCCTTAACATTGGAGAAAAGTGGCAACAACGAGGCTTATGATGGAGAACAGTGATCGATGGTCTATGATTCTATGCGATGAGCTTAAGTAAGTAAGTATTGGATGATATAAAGAACAAATCAACTATAACCGTTTTTTTCCAACATGGCGGTTATGGTGTTGCTACATGGATGTCAAGAATTCAAAACGCTTACCTTGATAAGTTCCACTATTTGAGGAAAGTAGGGTACTAAGTTTTCTTTTGCTGCACTAGCTTTAAAACAAAGGAAAAATACTTCAATAAAAAGTACATTTTATTATAAGATGTTAAGCAAAAGGTTACTGCATTTGTTTGGTAAGTAAGACACGCGCGCAGGAGGAAGCATGTGTAGCCACGTTAAGAGAGAGAATTTGGTAGTTGTTTTTGACCAGTTTAATTAATTCCTAGCTCAAAGATGGGAACATCTTGCTGCAAGTGAGATTTGATTTTTGAATATAATGGATCATTTTAGCTTGTTCGTAATTTATTCCCATTACAGACCACGTTTCATTCCCTTGAAAATAAAATTCTTTGTTCGAGTCGTATCCAGAGAATGACACGTGATCTGAAATGGGAAAACGATACGCAAAATCTAAAGAGGTTTATTGGTCTAAGCGCTTTTGAGGATTTGCAATTCCGAAATATTAAGGTTAAGCTATAGCTTGGGAGTAATGTTCCCATTTCAGACCACGTGTCATTCCCTTGACAATAAGATTCTTTATTTGAGTTGCATTTGTGTCTTCTTATGTGCAACCGTTAAGCAAAGCTATGGTACTCTAGGGAATGACACGTGGTCTGAAATGAGAAAACATTACGACCAAGCAAAAGGTATTCAAATGAAAATACTTCAACCGTTAGAAATGTTAAAATTCTCACCTGTAGCACCGATGCCACTTATAGCCAGCTCTTTTAGATGTGTATTCTGAAATAGAAAACCATGCAAATTCATACCAGTTTCAATTTTCGAAACTCATTACAAAGCCCTTAGTGGTTGCTACAAGATGGCAATGTTTACTTCAAGCAAAAGACTACAGCGACTACGCCTTTTACAGTGCTTTTCAACAGCACTCGCGAAATCGTCGTAGCGACCAAGTAAGCCTTAGTGGACGTCAATCATGGACCACCTGCCGTGTCTGTGCGATGCGATTTGCCACAAGGATCATCATTTCTTGTTTCATTATTACCATTGTACCAATAACACTGCAGAGGTGTTCACACGATGGAATTTGTCGTGCGCATTGTTGCAAAAGTAGATTCCGATTCCACTTTTGGAAAATCCTTGGTAATGTTGGGCGCGACAATCCTAGAGGTGGACACATGATGGGCACCATGTTACTAGTACCATTTAGAGTGTTAGTCTTTTTTGTTTGTGCTTCCTTCCAATCCAAAATCTACATCCCAAATGACCTCTTCTTTGGACCAATCACACAACTGGTCGTCAAATGACTTATGTCTTAGTGAACCAATCAGAATCTGTATGTATTATCACGTGACTCACCTGTGATGTTGATAGTACCGTTAAAAGCTTTTCTAGGAGAGCAGGAAGATATGGTAGTATTCCTTCGCCTGTAACCAGAAATAAAGAGTAAAGGTATTCCTCATTGAAGAACAAAAAAGCTGCTTGGATTCACTTATGACACAGAAAATATCTTTGACGTACAAGTGGTAAAGCTCTAGAGCTTTGAATACACAGCAGTTTTAAAAGTATACTACAGCACCTGTCATGAATAACAGCACATGATATCGCTAAAGAATAACAAGGTAAGAAATCATCGTCGTTGCACTAACAACAGGGTACATATCATTCTCGGATTGACGAAGAGTGGTGGGTAGGTTGAACATAGGCTCAAAGAAGTTGCTGGCTTGTTTTGGATGGCCGTTACTGAGTGATCGTAGGGTATAAGTGGATTGGCGATGAGTTGCCAATAAGTCGAAGAAGTTGTTGGCGGGAATTTGGAATTTTTAGGCTCTATATCCCAAGGAGGTGTTGTCCCTAGACTTGCCCCAAGTCAAACTCTCTTTTCTCACTCGGGAGTTTTTTATTTCAAGTAGAGGTTGAGAGACTTCGGGAAGGTCTATATTGTTCCTTAACTGTTTACAAGAGTAGAGTCTCGATAGAGCACTTAGGCAAAAGTACCTAGGTTTTCACAGAAGGTTTCCAATGCGTAGTATGTCCGCGTTGCGCTAGGGCACTGGTCTTTGTTGTTCATGGTGCTACGCCCAAGGTGTTCAAACAAAATTGGAAGAATCTTTTCACTGTATGCACTAATGTCCGGCTGAAAAAGAAGGAAAAGAAAATGAGAAGTACCTCTGGGATGTTTCAAGTCAGGGCATGGCTAACTCACAGATCGACTTGGAATTTAGCTTCTTAGCAATGAACCAGGAGAAAGAGTCTTCATTCAAGGGAGAGACCTAACGGACTCCACTCACCTCTATGGTCTCACCCTTGATTTCCCTAGTCGTAGATGGAATAGAGTGGGAAAAAGAAAATAACCTTAAGACTTTAGAGGTAAGAGGCGAATATACTATAACTGAGCTACCCTTGATTTCCCTAGTCGTAGATGGAATAGAGTGGGAAAAAGAAAATAACCTTAAGACCTTAGAGGTAAGAGGCGAATATACTACAACTGAGCTACCCTTGATTTCCCTAGTCGTAGATGGAATAGAGTGGGAAAAAGAAAATAACCTTAAGACCTTAGAGGTAAGAGGCGAATATACTACAACTGAGCTACCCTTGATTCCAATAGTCGTAGATGTAACAGAGTGGGAAAACAAAAATAAGTTTCTGTACCTGAAGATGTTCGGAAAACTGTCCAAGAGCAAAGAGTGCAGCATTCTGGACAATGTGTTGACTATCAGACAACCCTGGAAAATAATACTTGATGTGAGGAAAAGTGAAAATACGCTGTTTTCTCGTAAGTATTTATATCTTACAAAAGGTAAGGGATCCACCTACAAAAACAACGAATAGCTGGAAGTATTTTTTAAGAAAAGTAGAAAAAAGGAATGGCTGCCATATTGTATGACTTCATTGGATGACATTGGATGACATCATGAAAGAAACTAACGATTTGTTTCCATAATTTCTGGTATTTGCAGTAAGCAGTAAATAGTTACTATATATGCCTTAATTTTTTTTCAATTTCGTTAGATATTTACAATGTGCAAGCACAATTCACAGTGTAAATCTTTGTCATAACTATTTTTTACCTCTGCAAACTGTTTCAAGCGCCGCTTCCAGGTACCTGAAAATATCAGATGAATGAAGCTGATAAAAAACGTAGCACAACGATGAGGGTTGTTAATCATAAAATTTAAGATATATTCATGGTTTTGTATATACAAAACTATACGCCAAAAAGGGTGTCCCTTACGATGGTGACTATGATGGACGCAACTACAGTGATAGTGATGATGATGATGATAATGATGATGATGATATTGATGATGATATACGATGCTGGTGAAGTAGACATGATAGTGGTTATCGTTGCAGCACTGGTAATGATGATGACAATCATTATGATGATGGTGTTACTGATGATGCTGGTGGTGGTGCTGATGATGATGTCGATGGTGGTGCTCATGATGATGGTGGTGGTAGTGGTGGTAGTAGTAATGATGATGCTGGTGGTGATGGTGCTCATAATGATGCTGGTGGTGCTGCTGCTGATGATATCGGTGGTGGTGATGATGCT